AACTGGTTCATATTTATGACAGTTGTAGTGGGGTCATGTGATTACCTTTTGTGACCTTCTGACAAGCAAAGTCAATGGGAAAGCCAGATTCACTTAATGTGCTATCCTGCTCACTCTCACACACATGTAACTGTAGTTTAGTGAGTTTATTAATATTCCCCAGAAATTCCCTTCACCAAAACTCAGAATTGTCCCAATTAAGTCCAGCCACAAGCAAACCAATGCTAGTCCACAGACCAATGGCCAAAGAGTCGATAAGGCACTTAAAAGTTTCTGAATCAAAATAAATCCACCAGGCAAACTTAAATCCACAATACAAGAGAATTTACAAGGCAGAGTTTCCAAGGCACGATCCAAGTTAAGACACAGTGTTAATCCAAAGTGAGGCAGGAATCACAATGACTAGAAAACACACAGCTAGGAAACAAAAATGTTGTTCCTAGCATTGCCTCCATCTGTCCACTGTGCTAAATAACCAGCTTCCAGTGCAGCCCATCAAGAAGGACGAGGCTTTCTCCTCACAACTAGTCTAGCTGATATGCCTTTTTTTTTTTCCCTACATGTTCTTGGATCATGTATAGAAAGCAGTTCCTCCTCCTCCTCTTCCTCCTCCCTGACTGGCTGCATGCGTTCCCCACCTGGAGCCTCAGCCAAATCCCTCAGAACTGCTCAGAGCCATCAATCAATTCAGCTCCTGACATACCAGGAACCGGTTCATCCTCCAATTAGCTACCCCAGCTGACATCTAGAGAGGTATCTGAGGGGGGAGTCATCACACTTAACTGTGTTACTAATTTAACAACCGCAGTGATTCACTTAACAAATGTGGTAAGAAAAGTTGTAAAATGGGGCAAAATTCACTTAACAAATTTCTCACTTAGCAACATAAATTTTGGGCTCAATTGTAGTGTATTGTCACATGGTCCTGTGATCAAAATTCAGGCTGTATTTATGACAGCTGCACTGTCCCAGGGTCATGTGATTACCATTTGTAACCTTCCCAGCTGGCTTACAACAAGCAAACTCAATGGGGGAAGCCAGATTTGCTTAAGAACCACATGATTCATTTAACAACTGCAGTAACTGGCTAACTATTGGCAAAAAAAGCTCATAAAAAGGGGCAAAACTTACTTAGCAACATAAATTTTGGACTCAGTTTTGGTCATGTCAAGGACTACCTATAATTAATAATGTGACTGTACGATTTTGTCATAATAATGTGATAAAATTTAGAATTAGGCTGTATACCATAAACTGTTATTATGCCTATTACATTTTCAAATCTGTTCAAACGACATATTCAGAAGAATAGCAACATCATTCAGGTTTTATTCACCTGGACAATTCTCTAAAATGATCCTTGCCATTAGGTGTCAGCAGCATTTTATGGCACTTACATTCACTGAACTGATGTCCCACAATAATTAGTAAGAGGAATTTTTTTAAGTTATTAACTGAAAAGCAATGCAGAAACCAGTATTTCACTGACTATTTACAAATGTGAACAACTTTGCTGTAGTTCAACAAAAAATGTCTTCAAAAGAACCATGCATTTACAAATTTAGCACTATCACACTTGGCAATAGCTTGTTAACATTGCTTCAAATGCTGAAGTACTCCTGACATTTTGAAACTGAAGTATTTTAGATGTACTTAGTTACTTTCAAGATATGACGCTGGAAGATGAGCCCCTCAGGTCAGAAGGTGTCCAATATGCTACTGGGGAAGAGCAGAGGGCTAGTACTAATAGCGCCAGAAAGAATGAAGCGACTGGGCCAAAGCCGAAAGGACGCTCAGCTGTGGATATATCTGGTGGTGAAAGGAAAGTCCGATGCTGTAAAGATTTTTTCTCCATAGGAACCTGGAATGTAAGATCCATGAATCAAGGCAAGCTAGACGTAGTCAAAAAAGAGATGACAAGACTGAACATCGACATCTTAGGAATCAGCGAACTAAAATGGACAGGAATGGGTGAATTTAACTCAGATGACCATCAGGTATACTACTGTGGGCAAGAATCCCTCAGAAGAAATGGAGTAGCCTTCATAGTCACTAAAAGAATAGGAAAAGCAATACTGGGATACAATCCTCAAAATGACAGAATGATCTCAATTCGAGTCCAAGGCAAACCATTCAATATCACAGTAGTCCAAATCTATGCCCCAACCACTGGTGCTGAAGAGGATGAAATTGACCGGTTCTATGAAGCCCTACAGCACCTTATAGAATTAACACCAAAAAATGATGTCCTTATCATCATGGGGGATTGGAATGCTAAGGTAGGAAGCCAAAAGATAACCGGAATAACAGGCAAGTTTGGCCTTGGAGTACAAAATGAAGCAGGGCACAGGCTAATAGAATTTTGTCAAGAGAATACGATGGTCATAACAAACACTCTTTTCCAACAACCCAAGAGACGGCTCTACACATGGACATCACCAGACGGTCAACATAGAAATCAGATTGACTATGTGCTCTGCAGCCAAAGATGGAGAAGCTCTATACAGTCAGTAAAAACAAGACCAGGAGCTGACTGTGGCTCAGATCATGAGCTTCTCGTTGCAAAATTTAGGCTTAAATTGAAAAAAGTAGGGAAAAGCACTAGGCCACTCAGGTATGAACTAAATCATATTCCTGATGAATATACAGTAGAGGTGACAAATAGATTTAAGGAACTGGATCTGATAGACAGAGTGCCTGAAGAACTATGGATGGAAGTTCGCAACATTGTACAAGAGGTAGCAACTAAAACCATCCCAAAGAAAAAGAAATGCAAGAAAGCAAAATGGCTGTCTGAGGAAGCTTTGCAAATAGTTGAGGAAAGAAGGGAAGCGAAAGGCAAAGGAGAAAGAGAAAGATACACCCAATTGAATGCAGAATTCCAGAGAGTAGCTAGAAGAGATAAGAATGCCTTCTTAAATGAAGAGTGCAAAGAAATAGAAGAAAACAACAGAATAGGGAGGACCAGAGATCTCTTCAAGAAAATTGGAGATATGAAGGGAACGTTTCATGCAAAGATGGGCATGATAAAGGACCAAAATGGCAGAGACCTAACAGAGGCAGAAGAGATTAAGAAGAGATGGCAAAACTACACAGAAGAACTATACAAGAATGAGCTTAACATCCCAGATAACCACAATGAGATGGTCATTGACCTCGAACCAGACATCCTAGAATGTGAAGTGAAATGGGCCTTAGAAAATCTGAGCAACAACAAAGCTAGTGGAGGTGACAGTATTCCAGCTGAGCTATTCAAAATCTTAAAAGACGATGCAGTAAAAGTGCTACACTCAATTTGCCAGCAAATTTGGAAAACTCAACAGTGGCCACAGGATTGGAAAAGGTCAGTTTACATTCCAATTCCAAAGAAAGGCAATGCCAAAGAATGTTCAAACTATCGCACCATTGCACTCATTTCACATGCAAGTAAAGTTATGCTTAAAATCCTACAAGCTAGACTACAGCAGTATGTGGATCGAGAACTTCCAGAAGTACAGGCAGGATTTCGAAGAGGCAGAGGAACTAGAGATCAAATTGCCAACATACGCTGGATCATGGAGAAAGCTAGGGAGTTCCAGAAAAACATCTACTTCTGCTTCATTGACTATGCTAAAGCCTTTGATTGTGTGGATCACAACAAATTGTGGCAAGTTCTTAAAGAGATGGGAGTACCAGACCATCTCATTTGTCTCTTGAGAAACCTATATGCGGGTCAAGAAGCAACAGTAAGAACCGAACACGGAACCACTGATTGGTTCAAAATTGGAAAAGGAGTCCGGCAAGGCTGTATACTGTCGCCCTGCCTATTTAACTTATATGCAGAGCACATCATGAGAAAGGCAGGGCTAGATGAATCAAAAGTTGGAATTAAGATTGCCGGGAGAAATATCAACAACCTAAGATATGCAGATGATACCACTCTAATGGCAGAAAGTGAAGAGGAACTAAAGAGCCTCTTGATGCGGGTGAAGAAGGAGAGTGCAAAAGTTGGCTTGAAACTCAACATTAAGAAAACCAAAATCATGGCATCCGGCCCTCTCAATTCCTGGCAAATAGATGGGGAAGAAATGGAGGTAGTGACAGATTTTATTTTTCTGGGCTCCAAGATCACCTCAGATGGGGACTGCAGCCAAGAAATTAAAAGACGCTTGCTCCTGGGGAGGAAAGCTATGGCAAATCTAGACAGCATTCTAAAAAGCAGGGACATCACCCTGCCAACAAAAGTGCGCATAGTCCAGGCCATGGTTTTCCCAGTTGCAATGTATGGCTGTGAAAGTTGGACCATAAGAAAGGCTGAGCGCAAAAGAATTGAGGCCTTTGAACTATGGTGCTGGAGAAGACTCCTGCGAGTCCCTTGGACTGCAAGGCGTTCAAACCGGTCAGTCCTAGAAGAGATCAACCCCGACTGCTCTTTAGAAGGCCAGATCCTGAAGTTGAAACTCAAGTACTTTGGCCACCTAATGAGAAGGAAGGATTCACTGGAGAAGAGCCTAATGCTGGGAAAGATTGAGGGCAATAGAAGAAGGGGACGACAGAGAATGAGATGGCTGGATGGAGTCACTGAAGCAGTAGGTGTGAATTTAAATGGACTCCAGAAGATGGTAGAGGACAGGAAAACCTGGAGGAACGTTGTCCATGGGGTCGCGATGGGTCGGACACGACTTCGCAATTAACAACAACAAAGTTACTTTCATCAATTAGAGTTCATGGGAATGTTGCTTTGCCAATTCAAGTTTGTTGGAAGTAGGTTATCCATTTTCTGAACTGCTCTTCTATTTATTTGAACAGATCTTTTCATATTTCTCAGCTTCCTGATTTCAGTCTGCACAATTTTCCACCTTACAACCTTTCTTCTGAATTCATCTGTCTAAATATCACGCAGCTGAGGATAACATTCAATGGACTTCATGAAATCCATAAAAAACGCATGTTCTCCCAAAACTGTTTATTTTATACCATCCACTGATTCAGATTATTATAGACATGAGAAAAGTACTTACTTGTTCTGTTAGGGTTAATGTGCTGCTTCAGGAGGTCAATGGACCCCAGACTGATCACAAGACGTTGTCCAAACCAGAAAGAGACAATTGGGCCATATTTCTCATGGAGGTTGACCAGAAACTCATGCAAGCTGCCACTAGTTATGATGTCGGGAAGATTCCCATCTCTGGAATAAAAAAAAGGATGAGATTAGGGCAAATTCATTGGCATCTCCAAAGAAGAAATGTAGAACTTAACATGGAATCACAACATTAAGCCATAATTTGTTCAACTATTTCATTAACTAAATATCACAGTAAACTGGGCACAGAAAACCCATAAACCACAGTTTGTAGACCAAAACTTCTGGATTTAAAGCATAGTTTATGACACTACCCACTAATTATGTCAACCAGACCAGAGTGTTTCATTAGAATAATTCATTTCCAATTAGGCATTACTACCATTGCTGAGATGGACAACACATTTAAAAAATATTTTTCACCCTGCTGAACCAGCTTGATCCAAACAGTCTTAGAAACTTTGCTCCAGACTACAGCTTCATTGTTTAAAAGATGGGGATAAAAACTAAAATCAGCTAGGAAAAGGATGGAGTAGGCAAGGGAACTGTCTTTAAAAGAAAAAGGGAGAGCAATTATTGAGATCAGAAGGAAAAAAAGCAGATAGACAATAATATACACAGGAAACAGGAAAGGGATTTCTAATGCTAAGTTTATCTTCCTCCAAATAAAATGTGGTAGTCCTAAACATTTTCTTAAAATTTGCAATGTGCCCATGGACCCAAAAATATTAAGGACACATACCTGTGTAGAAAAGGGAAATGATATAGAAAGGAGTAACTTACTTTTCATCCGTTGGAGTGATCCCTGGGATTCCTGAAGCTTGTCGGGAAGGCTAAAAAAGAAGGTAATATAATTGGAAAGATTAAGATGTTAATATTATCCAGTCAACAAAAAAAGAAACGTATTACTTAGCCTATTTCAGTGATGGCGAACCTATGGCACGGGTGCCAGAGGCGGCACTCAGAGCCCTCTCTGTGGGCATGCACGCCGTCACCCCAGTCCTAGGCCTTCAGCTGGGTTTTATAAAACCTTTTCACTTTAGGCCTCCGCCACCATGTGCAAAAAAAAAAAAAAAAAGGTTCAATCAATCAGTCAATTTCAACTTCTCATGAGAAAAAAAAAATCTTGCAAAGTTGGAATTGATTGAACTTTTTAGTACCACCCAGTCTGCTGTTACCACCGCAGCCATGCCCACCCCATGGGCCACACCCACCCCATGGGGCACACCCACCAGGCACCCGACGATGCATAAGTGAGTTTTGGGTTGCAGTTTGGGCACTTGGTTTCTAAAAGGTTCGCCATCACTGGCCTATTTCCTTAAATCAAGATGCTTATGATTTTATCAAATGTAAAACTACAAGTTATCATAACTTCTACAGGATTAAACATGTGATTGTAATTTATTTTAATCCTAAATACATATATTTGCATTCAAACCCAGCTATTCAGAATTGTTAATTTATAAATTGCTTGTGTTGCTGATCCATCATGGAGTTCAAGGGAACATATTTTAGGCAATTTCCCATTCAAAACTGGATTACAGATGCAATCTAACAAATTTAAAAGTTATATTAGATAGTGAAGCTTAATTCCTCTATGCTTTTAGATAGTAATCTAATTTACTATCTAACATTATCTTTCCTCCTCCCTCCTCATCCTATTTCTTTTTGTGCTGAATCTTCCAGACTGTAAAGTTTACATTTTTATTCATCTTAATTCATATTACAGGCTCTCTAAGGGCAGTTCTTTTAGAAAGCCAAGGCAGAAAAATTTAAAATAATTGCATTCGAAGAACCTTGATACTGTGCTAATGTCCAGGATTTGGAATAGTTCACCAAGCCCTTGATAAACACCCATCCCCAATGTTTCCCATCCTTGCTAGGGACTGGACTTTCCACTTCCGGCATGCCAACAATTTCCTTCTCTACTTCCCTTCCTGACCCAAAGCCCCTCCCATCACAGGAAGCTTTCTTCTCTCCTTGGGCAGATCACAGACCCATGTAAGCCCACCTTCTTCCCAACTGAGCTGTCCACCCTCTGAGGCAGAAAAGGGGCCTTCACATCCCTTTCAAAGGGTGCTTTGCAGTGGTCAATGGTCACAATTAGAGATTATCCCTGACAGGATCCTGGCCCTCATCCTAAATTGAAATTGTGGATACATCTGGAGATTAGAATACATGAAGCGAAAGAAAACTAATCAAAGAAAAAGAAAATAACTGAACCCTACTGGTGTGTGAGGCTCACCTACACCAATTCTGCTCTTTGGATTAGTGTTCTTGTAAATTAAACATAAACACTCCTTGGAAGTTATAGAGCTTGATTCTTGATTTAATGGAAACATTTTGGCAACAATATGGAAGTAGTCAATGGTTACTTTCTTCCAGAATGCCACTATTCCTAGTGGTCTCCCATTGAAATATTAACCCCATCCTATCCTGTCCATTATTTCTTCAGAGTTGGCTAAATGCTGCCACCTGCTGTCCACACCGAGTACACACTGAACTCCTTTTCTGTGATTTGCTTTTTCCTCCAGAGTTGTGGGGTGATTGACTGAATAAATCAACCGACCAACGGCTTCTCTGCTTAAGTTTCCATTTTGTTTGTCTGCATCCGTTGCAGTTTTCTCGGATTTTTCATGAATAGAAGAGAGCAAGATGGGTGTTGCTGGGAAAACTTTGGGAATCCTCTTCCCGTGCTCTTTAGAAATATATTAAATAGCCGGGGGGGGGGACAGAATGGGACACCCTTTCGTGGGGAAGGTCTCACTGGCAGCAAGGTGGGTGGTCTCTGGAAAGCCCAAAATAGGCGCTCGGGGGAAGGGATCAGAAAATAGTTTCTGTCCCATCTTCGGCCGTCAAAGTAAAACTGTAAGGAACAAAGGAGGAGCTTTATTAAACCGCTGCCGCAAAACCTCTTCGTCCCAAGAAACTCAACGGAACTGCTCCTTCCAGACAGTCCCAGACACGAACTGGACGTTGCAAAGCGATAGTCCCAGCTCACTTGTCCGCGAGGAAGCCCCAACTTCTTACTTCCGAGCAAAGTTGCCTAGGATTGCATTGCAACGTGTACGTGGCAGCGAAAGTGCCCTTTGGTTTGCTTTACGGACCCACCCACCCCCGTGGTTCACACCCCGCTTATTTACCGGGCAGAGGTAAAGCACGGCTCCCACCAGGATCAACAGGAAGGTGACGGCGAAAATGACAAAGTCCAGCATGATGGTCGCGCCCCCCCCCACCCGACCGACCACCGACCGACCGCCCTCCCTCCAAAAGCAAACCAGTCCACGTCCGCGCCGGTCTCCGCTCTGCAGCTCCAACGCAGAGCGGAGGGACAGAAAGAGGCGGAGATCCGAGGAGGGAGGCGAAAGCAATCGAGTCTTTAGCGGCGCGAGCGGACTTGGCCTGGCGGGGGGCCGACTCCGCGGCTGGCGTTAATCCGCATTCCGCTCTTCTCCTGGGTAGCCTCTCCTCCCTCCGCCGATTGGCAAGCCAGACACACCTCTCCAAACGGAGCTTCCTGGTCGCCTCCTCTCTTCCAGCGCCAGGTGGCTTTTCCACGGCTTCCTGGAAGAGACACCGTCGCGCCTTTTGAGCAAGATGGAAAATCGCCGGCGGCTGCTGCTGGTTTCCAACTCCACCCTCTACGGCGGAGGCTACCTAGACCACTGCCAGGAACACATCAAGACCTTCCTGGGGGCGTAAGTTTACACGAGAGAGAGCGCCCGGTGGCTAGTCGAGAAGGGGCGCTGCATCTTCCAAGTTGACGGCCCCAAGGGTCGCTTTGCCTCCCCAAACGGTTCCTTGACTTCTCCTTTTAACTTGCTGGTTGCACAGTACATGCTGCCTCCTTTTCAGAGTGAAAGAAGATTTTTAAAACTGTCTATTTCTATGCCAGAACAGGAATCGAGTTACCTGTTGTTACTGTTGCTATAAAAATGAAGCTCTGTAATCAGAAAATTATTTAACATTGGATAATATTTATATAGGATTGGTGTGTAAATATAAATAACAAGCAGCTTGTTATCAAAAAGTGTTTCTGGATAACTGATTATGGAAAAAGAATGTTTCAGTAAATCTGTAGGGTTCTTATGTGGAAGAAGGTAAATTGATTGCTTTTTTCAGAGTCTATTATTTAAAAATGATCTGCCTGCCTTAATAGGCATTTCATTTTGATGTATGCTGATTGGTGTACTTTCAAAGTGACAATAAAGTTATTATTATAGGTGATCAAACTGGCTGCTTAGCTGGATTCTTGCTTTAAAATGCTAGGTAAACATCAGAATGATGGGGAAGGGGACTTTCATATTGTTTTACCTTTTAAGGTAAAATGAGATATTGCCCAATCCCAAACTTTTGCTTGTTTATCGTAAAATTGATTCTCCTAGGCAGGTGAGGAAAATTCTGTTTGTCCCCTATGCTCTTCATGACCAAACTGCATATGCTACACTGGCAAGGGAGAAGCTGGAAAGTTTAGGTAAGTCAGACCTGTCCTTGATTCACGTAGAAGATGGGTAGGTAACCTTTTGGCTCCAAGGCACTAAATTGGAAGCTATTCAATATTTTTATATTGATTTTATATATGTGTGTGTGTGTGTGTTTGTGTGTGTTATAATTATACTATACTATGCTATATACTATACTATACACTATACACTATACAATTATAATTATACTATACTATGCTATATACTATACTATACACTATACTATACTATATTATACTATACTACTATACTATACTAATATATATATATATAATATACTACTACTATATATATACTACTATACTATACTATACTATACTATACTATACTATACTATACTATACTATACTATACTATACTATACTATACTAATATATATATATATAATATGACTTTCCGTTCATCTTCCTCTTTGGCAACAAACATGGCTTTTACCTATGCCCAGAGGTACGCTTAAGCCATATAGTGTGACTTGCAACATGCCCAATAATTCTATTTACTTTGTAAACCCAAAAAGAAGCTAAGACAAAAATGCTTAGCTGCTGGCAAGCCATGGCCAGTGAACTAGGTTCTTCTCAATAGATAAGTGCAAACTTTATCTGCTTGTCTCTTTTACTTAACTGACACAGGCTGCTTGAAAAATACTTGAGGAGGAGCTGCAGAGAAACAGCTGCTCCTGAAAACATTTAGGGCAGGGGTGTCAAACTCAGAACATCACATGATGTGTTGTGAGACTTTTTTTTCATTGCGGGCAATGATGGCGCTGTTTTGCAATGACGCATCCAGCCCGTGGGCCAGCAGTTTGACATCTCTGATTTAGGGTATTCTCTTCCCTTGAAGAATAAGATCCTCTTGCTATTCAGAACTGTGGTTTCTTTGTCACAGTCAGCAGAATTCTCCTTGACAAGGCCTTTTTTTTTTCAAAACTCTTGCACTGCTTTCAGTATACAGTGGATATAAAAGTCTACACATTCCTGTTAAAATGCCAGGTTTTTGAGATGTGAAAAAAAAATCAGACCACGATAAATCATTTAATTGAATTATACAACTGATACATTATATTAAAGATGGAAAAAATTCTGAAATGATTTATCATGGTCTGGGTTTTTTTTATATCTCAAAAATCTGGCATTTTAACAGGAATGTGCAAACTTTTTATATCCACTGTAACTTAGCCGCATCCTGAATACTACCTAGGGCAGTGATGGCAAACCTTTTAGAGACCGAATGCCCAGACTACAACCCAAAACCCTCTTACGTATTGTTGGTGCTGGGTGGGCGTGGCCCATTGGATGGGCATGGCTGTGGTGGTAACGGCAGACTGGGTGGGACTAAAAAGTTCAATCAATCAATTCCAACTTTGTGAGATCTTTTTTTTCCCGCAAGAAGTTGAAATTGATGGATTGATTGATTGAACCTTTTTTTTTGTACACGGCGGAGGCCTAAAATGAAAAGGTTTTATAAAACCCAGCTGAAGGCCTAGGACTGGAGCGACAGCACGTGTGTCCACAGAGAGGGCTCTGCATGCCATCTGTGGCACGCATGCCATAGGTTCGCCACCACGGGCCTAGGGCTTGATCTAATTTAGTTGATGATGGAGGCTAAGGGGGATAGCAAGGATGTTCTACATGGTGATAGCAACAACACTCCATGCTATTTAATATCCTTTCTTCAACTTCCTGTTTTCTGCACAGGTATGAAACTTTTTCCAAAGACTATTTTCTGATTGTTCTTTTGATCATGAATTCATTATAGTATTTTAGTTCTTATCCAGGACTCTGTCTCTGACCTGGGAACCTCTTGCTTTTACATTCTGTTACAGTGCACATTGTAGCTTACTGATTTATATGTAACTTCTTGTCTCCTTCTTAGGCTACGGACTAGACAGTATTCATGAATCAAGCGATCCAAGAGAAGCTGTAAGAAAAGCTGAGGCAATATTCATTGGTAAATATTAACCTCTTGAAAGTATTTGTATAGAGACTGCCTTCTTGATAAAGATAGACTAAGATACAAAGAGGCAAAAGTAGTAGGTAGTAAAGAGACCTCTGACCTCTACTTCTGCTTTTTAAGTGTTGTGGCAGAAACATAGACTTTTCCAAATTCTGCAGAGTCCTGAATATTAGTTTTTAATGTATGTGTATCTGCAAGACAGTCACGCTTTAACAGTTAAAACAACTAAAAATTATACTTAGAGTGTAGCCTTACATTTGAAGAATTGTGTTACATTGACCCTGGTCTATTTAGCATAGTTGAGTCTACATTAGGAAAAAGGAACTTATTTTGACTATAGACCACCTGATTCTGAACATATATCAATGATATAATGCTGGAGGTAGGCAGAATCAACTTCTATATGATCCTTCTCTCACACTGCTAACATTTACACTCTGGACTCTCCATGCAGCAAAATTGTTTTGTTTCCATTTCAGAAATGATCAGGAATAAAATTATAGATCCCACAGTTAAGATTTTAAGTACAGGTAGTCCTTGACTTATGACTAGTGGTGCTAGAATTTTGGTCGATAAGTGATGTAGTGATTGAGTCATCAGATGACTTAACCCAACTTTATGACCATTTTTACTACAGCTATTAAGTGAATCACTGCAGTCTTTAAACAAATCACATGGTCATTAAGTGAATCACATCTTCCTTAAAAGAATCTGGCTTCCCCAACTGATTGCTTATTGAAAGCTAGCTGGGAAGTTTGCATATCGCAATCACGTGACCGCCAGACACTGCAACCATTGTAAATATGAGCTAGTTGCCAAGCATCCAAATCACAATCATATAATCACAGGTACTGCAATGGTCATAAAGAGAATGTCAAGGTTCCAATCAATAAGACCAAATAAATCAGAAAGTTCCTCAAAGAAAATGTTTATTGGATACATAATATCGGCACGTTCAAAAGTGAAACCAGATCTAAACCTTCCTCCCAAGAATCAAAGTAATACAGTGTAACAATTCCCACCCCTCTAGTCATGCTGCCCAATAGAACCCCTTGGCGGGCTTTTCTAACTCAGTGATCTTCCTCCATCCCTCCGACATGAGAATGACCTTGGTTCCCATGAGAGTTGCTCATGTTTAGTCTACCAGAAATACCGTCTCCCCCCCTCCCTTCTTGTGGCAACCCAAAATGAAAAAATGGCTGCAGCCAGGTTCGTTGCAGAGTTGACAGATTGTTAGTCATTTTTTTTCTAATGCTGTTGTAATTTTGAATGGTCATAAATCGAGGACTCCCTGTATCTCTGATGTACCAGTGTAACCTCCTTGAACCTCAAATGCCTGTTTCAGTTGATTTGGTACAGTGGGGTAATAGGGGTATTACAAAATGATTCCACTTTCCCCAGGATCAGTTTCTTAAATGGCCTTTGTGGGCTTTTAGAAGAAGACTCTAATTCAGGGGTTCTCAACCTTGGCAACTTTAAGACTCCTGGACTTCAATTCCCAGAATTCCTCAGCCAGCTTTGGGAGGAATTCTGGGAGTTGAAGTCCACAAGTCTTAAAGTTGCCAAGGTTGAGAACCCCTGCTCTAATTCAATGGATTTCATGCCTAAATTAAAAACCTCCAGAGATGGAGCACCCACATCTCTGGAGGCAAGCTGCCCCATTGATTAATTGTTCTCACTGTCAGGAAATTTCTCCTTAATTCTAGTTTGGATCTCTCTTTGATTAGTTTCCATCCATTACTTCTTGTCCTGCCCTCAGGTGCTTTGGAGAATAGCTTGACTCCCTCTTCTTTGTGGCAGCTCCTGAGATATTGGAAGACTGCTATCATCTCATCACTAGTTCTCTTTGTTAGGCTAGATATACCCAGTTCCCACAACCGTTCACTGTACCCTTTAACCTCCA